GTGATTGAATTTTTGGAAACCTAAAGCTTGAATTTTATGAATTGTGATGTTAGAGAGCTCAAATGAAAAATGTGTATTAGATGATAGTGCCTTAGAATGATGTATTAAAGCTAGAAATGCCATGAAAAATTTAGTGGAAAAATATGGATTTTAACTTAGAAATTTTGAGAAATGTCATGACTTTGGGTTTTGAAATTTTGTTGGGCTTTGATTGGTGAGTTGTTGAATGATTGTATGTTGACAATATGAGGTTGTATTAGATGTGGAATGGTTGAAAATGGAAAGAAATCCTTTGGGATTCCCTAGGACATAATTCGGCCATTGTGGGAAAAATGAGTAATTGTGTTGGAAAAATAATTTGAATGGTGTAAGGTGTAACTAAATGGTCTTTAGATGGGTTGTGTGATGGATTGATAGTGGAAGAATCAATGGAAATTAATAACTTGTGTTTAGGGACATAATGAACCTAGAGTAAGCTATTTGGTAAAACGATGCTTAAAAGACGTAAAACGACGAAACGACACTTGAATTAGCCTTATGGCAACCTAAGGATGAGTAATAAAATGAGAAAGAAAATTTAGAAAAATGAATCTCAAATTAACACTACTATGGCCGAACCATCAAGGAGGATGGGGAGGAATTTTTGCGATTTTGCGTTCTGATGTTATTGGACGCATACTGATTGCTGTACATGGTTGTATAGGTTGCTGTACGTCGACTTGAATCCCGAACCGTGAGTCGGTGGATTGCCCTTGGTCTTGGACCAAGTGGATTGAGGTAAGTGATTGTATTATGCATGTGAAATTGAGAATTGACATGCATTTTGTGAACTTTGAGTAAGTGGGAACGTCCTATGTGTAGGCGTTCTCTTGAGTAGCAGACTTGGAACTTAAGCTGCTGCGGAGCTAAGTGAAGGAACGAATTAAGGTAACCTTTTGGTACTGGGGCTTGTTCCCCTTTTCTGTTCCACCTTGCCAGTTGATGGCAACGGTAGGAAGTGTGTATGAATAGTATAGAACACATGAGCATGCATGCATTATTGCTATGGGTACTGCAGTACCGAGTCTCTGGCCAGTAGACAGTTTTATTAGCCTTCGGGCATTTTCGGACTTTCGCTGGATAGGTCTCCAGGAGGGAGTTCCAGTTGACTGCGTGTCATGGTGTGTGATCCGGGTAGGAGCACACTAGGAATGTCTTTGGCGTTTTGGTTGGTTTGGGCATCATGGTTGTGGTTTCTGTGAACACACCTTGGATGATACCCATAGGCTTATATATGCCCAGGGCGTACGTGGAATTGAGGTTACCATCCCGTATCGTCGTAGTTTGTTTCTTTATATTCCCCATTTCTCTAAATCCCTTGCTATATCCCGTTTTCAAAGTGGTTGTTTTATTCTATTGATATGCATCGAAGCGAACCATTGGGTGGAGTTTTCTCCAGAACCTCTTGGTTACTGAGATATATTCGTATATCTCACCCCGTCTCGGGGCATTTATTTCATGATGTACCTGTAGCGTTGGAGCAGCGGGCAAGAGGCCCGCAGGGTGATAGAGGAACATTTTCAGCATTTGGCATATTGTTCATGTTGGCATGCCTAGGTCTAGCAGTTTGTATCATTTAAATTTATGTCTAAATTTGTAATTGGTGTTGTAATATTGTAAAAGGCAATTTGAAGTTAAAGTTGTAAGTTGTAATATTTAAGTGTATGTTGTAAATGTAAGAGAGGCATGATGTACCAAGATGGAAGGCTTTTAGGCCTATGTTAGAGTTATGATTACATGATTACATTGTGAAACTACATGTGAATGGGACCTATGTGATTGAAACAAGTAAGAAATATAATGTGAGCTCTATTGTATAAACTGTGTAACAACTATAAACTGGATTGGGTTGTAAGTGCCCCAAGGCGTTGTTGGTCCTTGTGTGTGCCACCCTTTGGATTATTACTGTATTATCATGTGTTTATTAGGTACATTTGAGGTTTAAATGATCATTTACAATTTTGGGATTATTGGAAAAACAAAGGAAACTCTGGCGAAATTTCTGTAGAATTGGCAGATTTTAGGCGAAATTCGGGAGAGCATATCTCCATCCATAGAGGTCCAATAGGGACGTGCCATACTCCATTTTGAAGGTTGAGATGTCCTCTACCTTGTGTCAAAATGTGAGGAAATTCTGGGTTGATCTTCGGCCTGAAAATACTAGAGAAACACGGACTGCTCATGTGCCCCTGCACCTGAGGCAGATTCTGGACCGGATTTGGGAAATTAATTCCCGCTTCGTTTCTCAGTCAAATTAAGCGTGTGATATATCAAAATGAAGTTTGAGATGTCTAGTTTGTAGGATAAAAATTTGAGAGCAAATGGTTGAATGGATTGAGTGCAGTAAACCGAGTAAGGTGAGTGGTTTGGAGCTGTTTTTGGGGTTGTTTGGCTATTTGCTGATCCAACTTCAAACGGCGATAACCGGAGCTAATGAGCTCCGAATTGAGCATATGATAGCTTGTAGAAAAGGGAATTAAGTAAGACAAAGATCTAATCTGAGAAGAAGGTTTGGTTGCTAGCGGTGTGGTCGCAGAAAAATTAAGAGTGAAACATGTCCGAATAGATAAAAACGTAAAGTTTGGAATTTGGCTAAGTAAGTTTATGGGAACTCCTTAGTAACTTATAATAAGTAATGTGAGTTGTAAACATAGTTTAAATAAGTCTTCCGCAAGAGTTTACAGTTACGGTCACAGCTTTTAATTATTACGCCTTTTTATGTTTTAAATTCTCGCGTAATAATCGGAAAAAGTTTATTCGCATTTTTATAAATGAATTGCTGTGATTGTAACTGCGCTTAATATCATAATTAATGTTAACAATACCGGTGTACAACGGGATGTTACAGAAAATACCATTAAATTCTCCATGTTATCATCATCTAATCTTTTATGAAGAATATCATAAACTAATTTTCATCTTCAATAATTCTTGTCACAAGTCCAACAGCAATTGTTCTTCCTAATGATCTTAAGGACACCCTTCCAAGAGCTTTGCAACTAGAGAACTCTACTACATAGACTGTCTCGTGCAAAATCACCTGAAATCAGAGACAATAAAAGTCATTCCAAGTTTTTTTGAGTCCGTGGCATCGAAGACGAACAAAAATTCGGGTAAGATTATTTAAAAAGCAAGTTTTGCATTGTTTATTTACCTCAATTACTGCACTTTGCTTTGCAGTAAGACAGCGTGGGGACTTTTTGGTTACCTTACCAGTCTTGGTGTATATGAAACTCTAACTGCTCGTATAGAAAAAGAAAATTGAATTTTTTCCCCCAATGAATAGAAATTGGATAATAAACTGTAAGAATATCTCATACATATCGTACACACCTGAGAGCCCACCAATAAGGGACTTGCACCATCCAAGAGAAGTACTTTCAACTCCAAATGCTTTGCAACTGTGACAGGAAAGTCAGGATGGCATAGTACACCTCCTGCCATTACATGACTTCCATCTACACCTAGCAATGTTACAGCTACGTTATCTCCAGCTCTTGCAACCTTGCAGGCATTAGAGTCACGCTCCAATGAGCGTACTGTCCCCACAACAGCTGAAGGCATAACTAAGACCTACAATATATAAATGATACAGTTATAGAAAGAAAATAGTTTTATTTCATGTCGTGTTAGAAGAGTTTAGGCATGTGATTTCATTCCATGCACAGTTATATTATACAGTAACCACATACAAAAAGGTTTAATTTCCAGGCTATAAAAACAAAATTCAAACTCCAATCACATCAATACTTTCTATCCGAAGACTGAAAAAAATTAAACAAAATTAAAAAGGAGGCCACCATGGTACTCTTTTGCAGCACCATTACCACCTGCAATATTGACCATCGGATCCATTACCTTGTTTATATTTTCACTAAAGCTATTAGAGGTCTTATACGGACCAACAAGTCAAATACAGATTTCACCACAAATAAGATGTATCGTGACTATATGGGGTTACACAAAACTGAGCAAAGAATGTCCTAAAACTTTGCATGACATTGGGATATTATTTTATATCATATTCAATGGAATGAAGGATGATATTGCACGATACATGCTTAACTAGCATTGTTATGGGCAGTCTTTACTTCAAGAGAAAATTTAGATTTTAGAAAAGAGAGGAAACTATATATGGATTGAGAACTTGGCAAAGTAACGCGAAATACAAGGTTGCACGTGAGGACTTGCATGTGATTTAACCCATATCGATGCAAGTCAAACAATATTCTGGGTTTCCTAATCAGCATCTTCTTCGTTACATAAAATGCTAAAGCTATTGCTATAATAAAAGAGAAATTAGTGAAGGTAATCAATTTTTTTTTTGATTTTGGCATAAGTCTGATTTTGTTACATCTTATAGTGCTTTATTAAAATTTGTATTTAATGAAATGCATTTCTCTAGTATTTATGTTGTTTGTGTCATAGGGGGAATTAATTGGTAACGAAGAAGATGGAGCAACAGAGATCCATTTGCTGAAGTCGTGTATGAATGAATTCAAATTTCTCTGGCAGACCCGGGATTTTTTATAACAGGGGATAAAAATAAAATTATAAAATTACAAATTTTATTAAGACTAATAGGAAATACTAACTACCCCTGATACTTCTTCAATGCATATACTTTTCATAATGATACAAATATGAAATTGCAATAGAAAACATAGAAAACACAAATGAGTTTAAGTTTATCAGCAAGACAACGACACCAAAATATATGTATATATTTTTTTTAGGTAAATGATCGCCTATAATTATATTAACAAAATTTACAGTCTTAGAAAAAAAGAAACAAATGCTTACATGCTTTGATTTGTAACGACTTAATGCTTTGTACCTTTGTATCGAATAATGCTTTGTACCTTTGCTTTAGCATTAAGTCGTTACAGATTCGTTGCAAATGATTTGTGATATGTGACGTTCTACTTGTAACTTATTCGATAATTTGGAATGCACTGATGATGTGGATAGTATGTGAAGGGACTGCAAGTTGTCTCGATAGTGAACATGGATGTCATACTTCTCACCTTACATCACCTGTTACTGATTCCCTTTCTAGAGAAGGTCAACTTTTCCATTTATGCTTCATTTAATTGCTACTGCATTTTATATTGTGAATTGGTATGACTCTAATTGCTATTTTTTTTTCCAGAATGGAGCACTCTTGTTTATGATTTACTGTTATCACCCAAACAGGCTATCCGTGTTGCTACACTGAAGCGCCGCTTTGCAGATACTATCTGTAAAGCACAAAATGAAACACTTTTGGACCAGGTTATACCTTTTTTCGGCGGAATCAATTATGGTCAATGAAAATATTTCTGTTCATTATTCCTTGTGTTATCTTGTGATGTTTATAGTGTTACAAATTGATGGTCATTATTCCTTGAATTTTGTTTTTATAGCCTGGAAATTTAACCTTTTTGTATGTGGTTACTGTATAATATAACAGTGCATGGAATGAAATCACATGCCTAAACTCTTCTAACACGACATGAAATAAAACTATTTTCTTTCTATAACTGTATCATTTATATATTGTAGGTCTTAGTTATGCCTTCAGCTGTTGTGGGGACAGTACGCTCATTGGAGCGTGACTCTAATGCCTGCAAGGTTGCAAGAGCTGGAGATAACGTAGCTGTAACTTTGCTAGGTGTAGATGGAAGTCATGTAATGGCAGGAGATGTACTATGTCATCCTGACATTCCTGTCACAGTTGCAAAGCATTTGGAGTTGAAAGTACTTCTCTTGGATGGTGCAAGTCCCTTATTGGTGGGCTCTCATGTGTGTATGATATGTATGAGATATTCTTACAGTTTATTATCCAATTTGTATTCATTGGGGGAAAAAAATTCAATTTTCTTTTTCTATACGTGCAGTTAGAGTTTCATATACACCATGCAAAGGAACCTGCTAGAGTTTCAAAAATATTGTCAGTACTTGATCCCAAGACTGGTAAGGTAACCAAAAAGTCCCCACGTTGTCTTACTGCAAAGCAAAGTGCAGTAATTGAGGTAAATAAACAATGCAAACCTTGCTTTTTAAATAATCTTACCCGGATTTTTGTTCGTCTTCGATGCCACGGACTCAAAAAAACTTGGAATGACTTTTATTGTCTCTGATTTCAGGTGATTTTGCACGAGACAGTCTGTGTAGTAGAGTTCTCTAGTTGCAAAGCTCTTGGAAGGGTGTCCTTAAGATCATTAGGAAGAACAATTGCTGTTGGACTTGTGACAAGAATTATTAAAGATGAAAATTAGTTTATGATATTCGTCATAAAAGATTAGATGATGATAACATGGAGAATTTAATGATATTTTCAGTAAACATCTTTGTTTGCCATCTAAGTCTAGAATTAGGTATGCTGGCAGACAACGGGCGGCTATGTGACTCTTGTTGAGTTTCCCGGGTCAATATGTGAATTATGTAAGAGGTCCAGTTTTTTTTTTGTCACTATATATGTATCGTAGGAATAAATCTTTGGTGCTACTGCTGCACCAAGATTAGTTGCATCCCATCAATGAAAGTATTACACATCATAAGAGAGAGAAAAAATTTGACAGAGAAAAAAAACTTTAGCTGACATGTAATAATTTTATTAGTGGGATGTACTGAATCTTTGGTGCAACAGTAGCACCAAAGATTTATTCGTATCATAGGTGAGCGTTCCTCTTCATTAGTCTGGAGTTCTACTATAGCAATCTAGTGGGATTAGAAGACAGAAAAATGATGTATCCGTTGGATGTAATTGCTTTTATTCTTTGATGCCTAGACTTCAGCATAGATTGATCTGCTTATAATAAGACCCCGCATCACTTGTTTATATTCGGGGCTTGCAAATCATGAAAAACTCCCGGTGTTGTTCTCGGGGAAGGCATTATTTTTCTACTTACGGTCTCTGGTTAAGGAATGTGGTCTGGAACCATCCTGTTGCTTGTAGAGAATCAATGAATGATCCAAAATTGGATCAAATAATGTCGGTGATTTTTTTTTTTTGGTGAGGCGTTGGACCTATGTTGCAGTTCTGGTGGAGGAGTCTTCTCTAGTGGATTCCGTTGTGGCTCCCTAATGGCCTAATGGGTTATGGGAAAGCAGGGAAATGAATTTTTCCATATCTGAATTTGACCTATGTTCTGGTGTGAGAAGATTTTATTCATTCATTATTAATCAATCCTCATGTTAGAGTTGCATAGAAGCTTGATTTACCTTAATGAAATATATAGTTTTTAATTATTGTACTTGTAAACCAGAGAAGAATAAATGAGTCATTTAGATGATTGACCGTTACAAATTTGTAATTAAAAGTTATGAGTGGTCGAGATTTTTTTATTTTCTTCTTAAAATGAGATATGTTTATTTTTCAAACTTTTTATTTTTTAATTTTTTTAATTAACTAATTAGTTGCTCTTATTTTGTTTTATAATTTTCAATTAATTGTTTGTTCATTCTTATTGTGCTCTTTCCAACTTAGCTTCTCTTACTTGTTTCTTATTCTCGAAATATTTTGAGTTTCTTGAAGCATTTCTATGCACAAATGTTTGCATATAATTTCTCACTCCTATAGAATAC